CCCCCAAGAGCCGCACGTTTTCTGCACTGCACAGACCTCCCCTTGGAAGTGGAGGCTGAGTGGAGGGCCTCTGGTCAGGCCCCACCCTGTCCGCGCTGTCTGAAGACTGACCCTCTCGATTCCCCTGTGAAGGGCAGCAGAACAGGATGCCTCGCTGGCTCCTGGCTCCTCTTCCAAGAGCTTCTGTTTTCTCTCCCCTGGAATGTGTAACATTGAGTCGCTGCGAGTGGGGGTAACCCCACTCCTGCCCTCTGAGTCCTCCCTGTTGGGGTTGGCGGAGGTGGGGAGCTCAGGCCCGGAAACCACCTCTGTGCTACCCCGGCAGCTTTCAGTTTGGCTTTGAGCTCTAGCCGGCCTGCCAGGGCCCTGGGGCCAGAGGGGAGTGGGGTGTGGGCAGGCCGAACAGGAAGGACCTTGTCCCATCAGCACCCTGCCCACGCTCCCACTCTGCCAAGGCCCTCCTGAAGGCCAGAGATGGGAACTTGGAGCTCGCAGCCCCAGGATCCTGGCTTCCCTCACCAACCCTCGCTTCCTGGCCCGAACTCTCACTTCCTACACCTACCTACCCTGTGAATGGCTTCTTAGAGATTGATGTGTTCTTCCTTCTAACCCCAGGACCCCAGGACCCTAGCTCACTGTCTAGAGCCCGAGCCCTGACACCAATCCCTGTTTTCCTGCTGCCTCCCCCTCCCAGGCTTGTCCACCTGGCGGTGATTCACGAGGCCCCAGCTGTGCTGCTGTGCTGCCTGGCTTTGCTGCCCCAGGAGGTCCTGGACATTCAGAACAACCTTTACCAGGTGGGTGGGGGGAGAGGGTGGGCTCTGCCCAGATACCTACACCTGCCCCATTCCTAGCAGCCACATTAGGCTGCACACCCCGGAAACCGGACGCCAGGCACTGGGATAGAAGCTGGTGATACAGACAGGAGTAAGACACAGCCTCTGCCCCCTGGGCGAGGGGGCTCATGTCAACACCTAGTTACGCAGCACGGTGACAAGAATTGTGATAGAGACACATACCAGCTACTGTGGGATCCAGTGTCTGTGGGGGCAGCCACGGAAAGCTGAATTCAGGAGGAGGCATCTGCGTGGAGCCTTTTAAAAGAGGAGTACGCCAGGTGGAGGCTGCCTGGTACCTCTGTCTTTCCTCCCTCCAACCTTTCCTTGTCACCTGGCCCCTGGGGATAGCAGAGGTCTCCCCAGAGGGGGAGGGGGTAGACCCCGCCACCATCTGTCCTTTCTCCAGGGGCTGTGGGGACCTGCAGGAAGAGAGGGGCCCACTTCCCTCACCCTGCCTCCAGAAATGGGGGTCCCAAGAGCTTGGTGGGCAGTGACAGAGGGAAGGGTTTAGCAGCGTTTCCTTGGAAGACCAGGGCCACAGCCTTTCTAAGCTGCCCTCAAAGAAGGTTCTGGCAGCTCGTAATTCCTGGGTTCACCCCAGCACGTTCCCAGAGGCAAGAGCATGCTAGAGTAGCCCCGGGCCCCTTTGTGCCTACAGACAGCACTCCATCTGGCTGTACATCTGGACCAGCCCGGTGCAGTTCGGGCCTTGGTGCTGAAGGGGGCCAGTCGGATGCTACAAGATCGACACGGTGACACGGCCTTGCATGTGGCCTGTCAGCGCCAGCACCTGGCCTGTGCCCGCTGCCTGCTGGAGGGGCGGCCAGAGCCAGGCCGAGGACCACCCCACTCCCTGGACCTCCAGCTGCAAAACTGGCAAGGTATGGGCGGCCTCAGGGTCCGTGGGATGAGAAGGGGGCAGGAGATGGACCAGTTCCAAGCACACAGGTACTCGCTACATCTTTGCTGAATGAATGGATGCATGCATGAATGAATGAATGAATGAATGAATTTGAGAATTTACTGAGAGCCTGCTGTGTGCAAAAGAGAGAGCTAAACCTTGCCCTCAAGGTATTTAGTTTAACAGAGATTAGATGAACTCATTAATTCACGTAACAAAAACGTACTGAGGGCCTTCTATGTGCCAGACATTATTCTGGGAGCCGGACTTGCATCTGTGAACAAAACAGAGAATGATGGAGGCCGGCAGTAAGGCTAAGCAGGGAGTTCTCTAGCAGGTTAGCAAGCAGTAAGCCCTGTGGGAAAAGTAGAGCAGAGTGAGAACTAGAACGGCAGGGTTGCGGGTGGGTGTGATTTTGAAAGAGAATGGCCAGGGAAACCCTCAGGGAGCAGGGACATTTGAGCAGAGACTTGAAGGAGGTGAGGGATGTCACTTTGAATCTAGGTCTGGAGGCAGAGGGGGTTCCACGCCAGAAAGGAGTCAGCAGAAAGGTTAGGGGAGCCCAGGGCAGGAGGTGGCTCCTGGGGAGGGGCTGGGGCCTGGGGATCCTGGAGAGCTGTGAAGAAGGTGGTTTTGCCACAGGGCGTGAAGGCGGGTAGAGTTTGAGGGGGAGGGTGCGCCTGTATGTGGGGTGTCACTCAGCCACCTAACCCATGAAGCATGAAAGTTTCAATAACATGACTCTGAAAAGGTGGAAACTTTGAGTTCCTTTTCCCTCAGACTTTTGAGGGGGTTTTTTGGGTTTGTTTTATAACAGTCCTGTGATCAGAGGCACTGAGTTGGCAGTAAGTCCCTTGGGGCTGAGGGGCAGGGAGGTCCCTGAAAGCGGGGGAGAGAGAGTTGCTGGATGCAGATGAGCAGCCCCCACCCTCACCCCATCCCAGGTCTGGCCTGTCTCCACATTGCCACCCTGCAGAGGAACCGGCCGCTCATGCAGCTGCTGCTTCAGAACGGAGCTGACATTGACACGCAGGTGAGGGAGCCAGTCGGGACCCAGCCCGGGGCCTGCCCCACCGCCTGATCCAGCCCCGGCTCCCCTGCCCAGCAGTCAGAAGTGGTGGCACTCACCTCCTTATCCAGGGCCCCGGGCCCAGCAGGATGCGGCTTGAGGCCCCTTGGCTGACCTCCTTATTCCCCTCCAGGAGGGCACGAGTGGAAAGACTGCGCTGCACCTGGCTGTGGAGACCCAGGAGCGGGGTCTGGTGCAGTTCCTGCTCCAGGCTGGTGCCCGGGTAGACGCCCGCATGCTCAACGGGTGCACACCCCTGCACCTCGCGGCGGGTCGGGGCCTCAGCAGCATCTCATCCACTCTGTGCGAGGCAGGCGCCGACTCCCTGCTGCGGAACGTGGAGGACGAGACTCCCCAGGACCTGGCTGAGGATGTAAGGGGCACAGGCTCGGCTCTGTTCTGCAGGACCTCCCACACCCATAGCAGAGGCAGGCGCGTAACAGCTGAAAGGGCCAAGGGGTCGGGATTCCGGGGTGTCATCCACAATCCACGACTCTGCCACTCACCAACTGTGGGACCTGGGGCAAGCCTCTGCCCCTCCCTCAGCCTGTCTTCTTAGTTGGTCAAGACCAGGGAGCTCAAACTTGGACTCTAACAGGATCAGTGAGGCCAACTAGGTATAAGACAGGGTGGTGGGGCCTGTGGGAGATCAGAGTCTATGCCCAAGGGTCACTCTACTTGGCTTCAGCAGATAGTCGCAGAGGAGGAATGTGGGCCTAGCACTTCCAAGTCTTGGAGTTTTTTAAGAGAAAGGTTAGGGGAGCCCAGGGCAGGAGGTGGCCCCTGGGGAGGGGTGGCCCCTTAAAACCTAGATTTCCTGTACAGTCTTTCCATTTTAAAATGTTCAGTGTAAAAAAGTATTCGGGGGCGCCCAGCTGGCTCAGTCAGTAGAGCATGTGACTCTTGATCTCAGGGTCATGAGTTCAAGCCTCACGTTGGGCCTAGAGCTTTCTTAAAAGAATATTCAAAATGTTTCATAAGTACTCCACCCCAATGCCAAAAATCCCTCCAGACCTATGGGCTAGATCATCTCTGGGGTCCTGGTTAGCTCTGCTATTCTGACATTATCTTAGAGAGTGAGGGCTTGTTTAAGGCTTCAGGGCTCTGCCTAGCCCGGAGGGGCCTCTATTTGGGGAATTAGTAGGAAGTAGGAAGATTTGTTCCCCGATGTCCTTCAGCTGTCATTTGGTGGAGGGGAAAAGACCCAATCTGTCTCCCCAGCTCCCTTCCTCCACTGCTGCCTTTTCCCCATGGGCCCTGATCTTGCTTCTCTCCATTCTCTTTCTCAGCCCTTTGCTCTTTTGCCCTTTGATGACCTGAAGATCTCTGGGAAGCCACTGCTGTGTGCCGACTGAAGCCAGGGCAGAGTCTGGGGCCCCGGAGACTCCATCTCTTCCCATGTGGAAGCTGGAGCCATAGCTGCTGCAGTTTGGGCCCAGACAATGTGCCCTCCTGGTGTCCTGGGGACTGCTGAGGCCATAGCCTGGGGCCAGCACAGTCCTGAGCTGAGAGGAGGGATCACAAGTGAGAGAAGGCCAGTCTGGAAAGAAGACCTTCCTAGGTGGACGGAGATTCTTGAAGACTCCCAAAGCCCCGGGTATCCTGGGCGAAGCCTGTTTGACTCTAGAAGATGGCGGGGGCTCTTGTTTCTACCCATGTCCAGTCAGCCTGAAACTGCCAACCAGTAGGAAAACATGGACTCTCCCGAGTGAGGAGAGAAACTGAAATCAGCAAGCAGGACCCTGAGGGGTTCCATCTCACTGCTGTTGAGGACTCTTAAACACTGTTGTTTAAAGACTTCACACAGAAGGCCCTGAACTGAGCCTTTGGGGAAGGGGAAGTTTCAATAACATGACACTAAAACAGCAGAGACCTTTAAAAAGTTTCCCCCCAGCGTTGTTTTGTGCATGTGCATGTCCATGTACATTGGGGATTTTTAGGTAGGCCTGCCTTGTGACTTTACGGTAGAGACAGAGAGAAGGAAATTGCCACCTGAGCAGGGTAGGACCTTGCTAGGTGCGGGGGGTGGGGG